GGCAAAACTATCTCTAAAAAGTAATATCTGATTCTTCACTGTTACAAATAATTGAGTTTCAGATTCTGAAAAAAAATTTTGCAAAATCCTATTACTTCCTTTAACAGTTACAAGACATGTATAATAAAACATAGTCCAATTTAAATCAAAGCCATTATAAATTAGATATTTACTGAGTGGGGACAGTGGTTTACAATAGAAAAAGTGGAAATATGCTAAAAAAATAGATCAAAGCCCACACTTTGCAGCTTATTTTGTAGACTCAAAAGGGTAAGAGAACACATTTGTAACCCATCCCCCTGCTTTTCTGTCAAGGCACTTATAAATAAACAACTTATTCATCATGTGGTTTAAGCATTTCCACTTCTCATGTGAATATCTGAGCAATGTAAGTTAATGCTTAAATATTGAAGTAACACCTATCCAGATATCTGCAAAATGTTAATCAGCTTAAAAATTCAACTTCATATTCATGTGTGATTTTCTGCAGTACTTTTTCCCAGTACTGTTTTTTTTGATGCTCCACAAAATTTTTGATGCTAAGCAACGAATACTTGGTTTTGTATCTATGTTGTTGCATGAAGCTTGTTAACATGAATTTGCCTCCTCACAGTGAAAACATATGTGAATAGGAAATCTGTGCGAATAAGAGAGTGAGTGTTGAAATAATGCTGAAGTTGTGAACTTCCGAGTCACAGTGTTCAGCTTTTTTTTTTTTTTTTTAATTTTCTAATTTTACATTGAAAAAAGGGAGAAAATATTGTCCAGAATTGAAGTTCAATGAAAATGAATAGCCTGATATTGAAAGCATGAAATCCAATCTCAAATCATCTTGAGCACAAGGAAATAACTGCACCTTTCAGAGAAAGCAAACACTAAATATCAATTTCCAGTTCTAAAAGAACTCCTGTTATTTAAGTAAAGGGAATACAGCTAGTCTTTAGAACAACTGGATGGTCTAGTCTATCTTAATTTTTGGTGATCTAGAAACATTCCCTATAGCATTTCCCATAATGCTGTGGCATCCACAGGGTTATGAACCCAGTATACACTCTTGTGTGTTTTTATGCATTTTCCTCTGAAGTGCATAGTGTATAGTCACTGCTGTGATAAATCTGGTTGCTCTTGAAGAAGAATTTTGAAAACAATGTTTTCATAGTCAACTAGGAGCTTAAATTAACACAGAAAGGTGTGGCAACCATGGGAGAATGGGCTGCTGTAAAATGTTCTTCAAAGTAAAGAAAATTGATAAAAGGTAATGTAATTAACATTGGTTAGAATAGCAGAGGAGGTACTCTGTTTCACAACTTCTAATTTAATTTAGTTCCATACATCTGTTCAAGGTATCTGGATGGTTTATTTATCCTGCATAAGGTACAAGTAACTAAGCTGAATGTATTGTAAGAAAGCCACACAGCTTGGTACCAATCATGAGAGAATTTTTTAGATGGTCTTTGCTCAAAGGAAGATGAGTAAAAGAAGAAAGACTATATATTACCCCTAGACAGTTCTGGCACTACTGTGATTAGCTCAGTTTCAGTGAATTCAGTTGAACTATGTCTATTTATTGCAGCTTGGGATGTTGTCCTCAATGTAAATTATGAAACTGAGACAGAAATCAATGATCTTATCAAATCATAATTTGACCTGTGAAACAGCCCTGTAATCTGGAACCTGAAAATATATGAAAAGGAAAGCTGAGGAGAACAGTTGATGAACCAGAATTTAATTATATAAGCAAACATTCAGCAAAAGTAAACTCAGATTTTTAAATGTAGATCTAACTTTTATCCAAATAACACTTACTCTTCCAAATGACTTTCACTTGGCAGATCTCAGGAGGATGTTTATTTTTTGAAAATTTTTCCTTAGTTTCATATTCATTAATTCACTTTCCCTTTTTCATCTAATAGGAATGTTGGACAAGTAGGGATAAAAGGTTCTCTTGAAATGGCTATTTCTAATTTCCCAAAGTATATTTCACGTGGCTGAGTGAATTCTTGCATCTATATATTGTGAGGTGTCAATGAGTATGACTGCTTTTCTAATCAGATAATTGGCAAAGTTCATGGTTATTCTCCTTGTCCTTGAACTTCTGTGAATACTTCTTTTCTCTTCCTTTTTTTTTTTTTTTTTTTTTTTTTTTTTTTTTTTAATTTGGTTTGTTTGTTTGTTTCTTTTTCTTTATTTGGGGGGGATTTGTTTCTTTCTTTCTTTCACCTGCCAACATGGAATATAAAGCACAAAAAACCCAGGAAAATCAGATTGTATAGCAAGATCACTAAACAGATGTCATGACATTTCCTGCTCTTTTACACCTTCATGATTAGAGGTTCTTTTGGGGTGTGCTAGTGAGTGGATTTTTTAAAATTATGCATAAGTAATTTTTCTTTCAGGTTACTCTCTCCATCTGGCACTGAAAAGAAGAAAGATCTATTTAGTAAGTGTTTCATCTGCATGCATGCCACAAACAGCAGCTCAGAAGATATTTAGTAAGATATTCAGTATTTCACATCTAGATATCCTTTGCAGCAATCACTGCCTTTTCCATGTTTTATTATAATAAAATGCAGCTGGAAAGAACCAGAGTTCTGGTTCAAAATATGTAAGTTGATTTTGTAATTCTGGAAACTGAACAAGAAGTTTGTGTTTGTTTTTTTTTTTTTTTTTTTTTTTTTTCCCAGTATTTGATTAATGGTTCTATGTCTTTCTGCATTGTTTGATTCTTACAGGTTCATCGAAAAGCTCACAGGTTGAGAATTTGCCTGATATAGAGCAAGTGACAAGAAATCACAATAAAACTGAAGCAAATACTGCTGGTATTATGCAGATAATCCTGCTTTAGCTTGCATTAGATCAGACATTTTTTATTAGTACAAGGCTTCTGTATAGCTGTGAAAAGGCTTTATTGTAAAGAATATGGAAAACAGCAATGAAGGTCAATATCAGCTGCTAAATTTCTTTGCCTATGGATCAGTTCTGGCCTTAGATACACATTGTTGAAAACTTTTGTGATCTCACATACAGTACAGGCTTTCATGCTAAGCTTATTGAAGCACCATAAATATCTGAAGTCTAAGTATCAGAAACTCTATGTATTGGTCACATTTTGCCATTAGATTTAATAGGATATGTTTCCTGATTAAATGTGACCAGATAAAATCAAATGAACCTACTATTATGTAGTACCTTTGAAGAGGTGGACTGGCATACACATGAACCACTAAATAAATGTTTTTTAACATATCAGTGGTGATTATAGCAAAACTTGGGTAAAGTCCCAAGTGGCAATATCCCCTCTTAGTGCACAAAAAGCAGATGCAAGCTCTGCAGTAAGTTGGTCTGTAAGCATGTTACACACTAAAGTCAAGTTCTCCTCCAAACACTGTTGCCTTTTACATTTCCTCTTGACATTCTTGTTACCTTCGTGCCTCTGTCTTTTTTGTTTAGCAAGTATAGAGATGGAATAGAAGGAAAATTTGTATGAAGGAATAGCTGCAGCTTTTAGCTGTTCTTACTATCTGTGATCCCAGTGGTTTTGTTTGTAAAACATTGCTTTGTCTTTTTTTTTACTTTTCACTTCCATATCCAATACAATTATTGCTTTTTAGATGGAATAAAAGGGAAGGCAAATTAATAGGAAAGGATACATTTTCATGGACATTGTTTTCAAAAGGTCATTTTTGATCTAGTTATATTTTAGCCAGTGAGACCACTCAATACTGACAAGAAAATTCAGTCTTGATATGTGGGAGTGCAGTCTTATTTCCTCTGATTTCAGTAGGAGCTCTGCTGAGCTTATCATTCATCTTTTTATCCAGGAAGACCATAGAGACATCTCACTAGCTGTTCAACAATTTAATCCAATATTTTTGTGTATGGCATTTCTCTCCATTTTCACTTTCCTTCCAGGATAAGTTAATGTAGACAATATAAATGTTCAGGTTTGTATGAATTATAATTCTTCCTTTCCAATTAAAAGAAAAATCAGCATTTAGCAAAGGGAATGATGGATTGCAGGTGCAAGTCAATAAAAGTCTGTGGCTTTACCTCTTTAGATCTGAGACGGTGTTCCCATAAAGCCCTGATTTCTGGTGTTTGAGAATGAATGGTAAGGAAATAAGGATTTAGTCTCTTAAAATCAGGATGAGTTTCTGTATCTTACTTTCTATGCCAAACTAGGTATGGATTAGGCAAACCAATTACTATGGGTTAAATCTGACTATTAAAACCAGTAAACATAATTAAAAAAATCTAGAGATATATTTGGGACATAGCTATTTCATTATAAAATAAAAATCAGCTTATTTTCTAATACATTAGAAATAATGTAATAATATTTTAATAACAAATTATAATATTTTCAAATGTTCTAACTTACATTTAAGTACAAACCACTTTCTGTAAAATCTAATCTCTAGCTTATTTTAGGACATGATTTATCCTCAGAGCATACTAGCTATATATTATGGCCTGTATATTAATTTATACAGCACTGTCATTTATTATGTTGTTAAGGAGTTATGCATGTGTACATCAAAGCCCACAGAAAGTGTGGAGAGCAATTGGAAAGTGCTTCTATGAAATTGTGTCTGCTTATTTATTATCTGTCTTTTGAGAATCCAGTCATGATATTAACAATAGCAATACCTTAATTTAAAAAGGAAAAAAAAAAAAAAAGAAAATATTTGAATAATGGATATGGATACATATGCTTGAGATATGTTAGTTATGACTTGCTCTACTGTTCTGTGGTGTTTTCCACTGCATTGCATTTATCATCTGGATGTGTCATTTGTGCCCCTCTATTTTGTAATGCCTCTAATCAAAACTGCAGACTCAGAAGTCCTCTTTTTTCACTCTTTCACTCTATTGTTCCCTTTTGCTCTTGCTCTTTGGTGGTGTCACTCCGTCTCTCTGTTCTCTCGCTCTTGTGCTCTTTCTTTCTCTTTCTCTTTCTCTTTCTCTTTCTCTTTCTCTTTCTCTTTCTCTTTCTCTTTCTCTTTCTCTTTCTCTTTCTCTTTCTCTTTCTCTTTCTCTTTCTCTTTCTCTTTCTCTTTCTCTTTCTCTTTCTCTTTCTCTTTCTCTTTCTCTTTCTCTTTCTCTTTCTCTTTCTCTTTCTCTTTCTCTTTCTCTTTCTCTTTCTCTTTCTCTTTCTCTTTCTCTTTCTCTTTCTCTTTCTCTTTCTCTTTCTCTTTCTCTTTCTCTTTCTCTTCTCTTTCTCTTCTCTTTCTCTTTCTCTTTCTCTTTCTCTTTCTCTTTCTCTTTCTCTTTCTCTTTCTCTTTCTCTTTCTCTTTCTCTTTCTCTTTCTCTTTCTCTTTCTCTTTCTCTTTCTCTTTCTCTTTCTCTTTCTCTTTCTCTTTCTCTTTCTCTTTCTCTTTCTCTTTCTCTTTCTCTTTCTCTTTCTCTTTCTCTTTCTCTTTCTCTTTCTCTCTCTTTCTTTTCCTCTCTTCCCCTTCCCCTTCTCCTTCTCCTCTCTTTCTATTTTTCTCTTTCCCGCATTTCTTGATCACTTGCTCTCTCTTTCTCTTTTTCTCTATCTCTCTGTGTCTTCTCTAAAAAGACCTTAAACACATACACATGCACACAAATACTCCTCCTCCTGAGTCTTCTGACACACTAATTGCTTGTGTTGCCCCCACCTTTAGAATTTTGTGGTGCTGATAATTGGGTCCCAAGACTATATCAACCACTGAAAATAACAGCATGTCTGGGAATCAGATTGCAGGAGTAGCCTGACCTTCATAAAATAAAATCAGCAGTGGATTTTTTCTATAGTCAAAAGGAAGATATAAACAAGAGGGCTGCAAATTAGCCATTAAGATGCAAAATGAATGCCAGGATCTCACAATAGGCTGAAAAGAGATACTTTTTCCATTTAGTTGCTTAATAAGTAATGATAAATTTTGGGGATTCAAAGAAAAATAAAGACAATTATGTCAATTTTAACCTCTATATGATTAAATGCAGTTAGTACTTAATATTTTCTAAATAAAGTAGGTATGGTCAGATTTTGTGTGCTTACAATTCAATTAAACCTCATTAATTTCAGATTAAAAGTTGGTATTTAGTCCCATCAGTGAAATTTCACTCAATTACTTTGTGTCTGTTTGGTTAAAGTCTATAAAATATAGGTTGAGAAATATAACAAAATTTTAAGGATTTCTACTGAATGTGGGAATGCTGACCTTTAGAAATATTTTACACTTGATTTTTGACAATGTAATGTCTATGGGCAAATGAAATATTTTTGTTCACTTGGTTCTTGCTGGAATACTTACTAAATGTTCAACCACAGTTCTTGAATGAAGAATTTCAAGAAGTTTTGAACATTTTCCCATTGCCTGAAACTGCCTTGCTGATGAGGGCCAGTATGTTGTTTGCCATAATTCTAAAACTTTCCTGAGAAACAGTACATTCTTTTCAGTGTGCTATCATGCAAACCCTGAAGGTCACATATTCTAAATGAATGAGTCATTTCACTACAAGATTGAAAAACACATTATGGCTGGATATCCTGGATTGAGTGAGTGGTGGAGTTTTTTGGTGGCGGGGGAGGGGGCTATAGGGGCAGCCCCCTGTGAGAAGCTTCTTGAAGCTCCCCCAGCTCCAAGTCAGCTCCACTTCTGTTTGGAAACTGAGCCAATCAGCTGCATCTCTGTGATAATGTATTTAAGAAGGGACGTGGTAACGTGCAGTTGGACTTGTGAGGAGGAGTTGCTGCAGCTGCATGAACACCAAGGTCGGTGGAGGAACGGAGGAAGAAAGGAGGGGGGAGGTGTGCCGGAGCAGAGACCCCCCTGTATCCTGTGGTGAGACGGCAGGGCGGCCCCCCCTGACACCCATGGAGATCTACGGTGGAGCAGACACTGATTAATGGCCTGTGGCTTCTGCTTCGTATAATCAAGGTGCTGTGCCCGAAGAAGGACAGGGTTTTGTGGGAAAAGGTAGCCCCGCTGCTGTAATTCAGTGCTGGGAGGATTGCAGCATGCGGGGGAGTCCCATGCCGGAGCAGCTTGGGAAGGGCTGCAGCTGTGGGAGGGAATCCAGTTGGAGAAAGTTATTAACCCACAACAGAGCAGTGTGGGGAACACTGTGTCCTGTGGGAGGAACTCATGTCGGAGAAAGTTTGTAGAGGACTGTGTCCTGTGAGAGGGGGACTACGATGGTGCAGGGGGAAGAAGCTTCCAGAAGTTCCCCCACTGAAGATGGAGAAAGTGGCAGCACTGACTGCACCCCCCATTCCCTGCCCCTGCACCTCTGCGGGGAGGAGGTAGAGATATCGGGAGCAGAACTGAGCCCAGGAAGAAGGGAGGGGTGGGGGGAAGGTGTTCTCCAGATGTGGCAATGTTTCTCACTGTCCTACTCTGTTAAGTGTTGTTAGTGTCTGTAATAAATGTATGTTCTTTTCTTTTCTTCCCCTAACGAGTCTGCCTTTTGCTCTTGCCCATAAAGGGTGATTTTTTTCCCCATCCCAGTCCTATCTCAAACCGCAAGCCTGGCTCTCTGTCCCTTATTATTGCTGGAAGAGAAGGGAGTGAGAATGGCTGCATGGTAGTTGGCTGCTGACCTGGCTTAAACCACGACACTGGAAAGTTTTGCTTTTCAAGGATGGAGGGTTAATACATGAATGAAATTTGGATAGCCCTCCATTGGCAGGCTTGGTATGCACTCATACAAATAACCAATTATGCATATATAGATCACCAAGGGGGCACTACCACATGAGTTAGGGCAGATGGTATTTAGATGTCTGTCAGTGGCTGTTACTAACTAATGAAAATGAAAGAATAATTACCAGAAGATGATGACTCAGCAAATCAGTGAGACATTAAGGCAAGGATGACCTATATAGCAGTAAGAAATCCCAGCAAAATACAAACATCTGAGAATCAGAAAAATGAACTCAGTAGAGGCAGAGAAATGGTTCTCCGGGGATGGAAGGTAATAATCCACAAAAGCCAAAGAGTGGAAACTTTAAAGAAGATCTCTGAGATCCATTTGTGTCCAATAGTGTAAAAATGTCAAGCCAGAGACACTATACTAGCCTATCAGAAGCTCACATATTCATGAAATGATCCAGAACAGTACATATTCAACCGTGACGGGATTTCAAAATCCTGTGTGTATATATACATATATATATATCTATAGGAAATATATAATACAAAACTGGCAATATCATGACCTGAGAATTTTTGTTTGTTGTCATGTCATGTCATACTTTACTTAGTTTCTTTTTTTTTTTTTTTTTACTTCTGCCTCATCATAAAATTAATCTGTTCTTCCCTGTATGCTCCTCTCACCCTGATCCTAGAGCTACTAGGAAAATAATCCTTAAATAACCAATGTTAAATATGTACAGAAGTATGAAAAAGCAATGACTAACAAAACCCCACAAAACAAACAAACAAACAAAATACACAAAAGACACTAAAACACAAAATAACACATGCACAGAAAGAAAATTAACTGATTTATGTTGCAATTCAAACTCAGTAATTTTAGGGAAAATTCTCTTGTTGAATAAAGACTGAGGAATTTTGTTTTGGTTTCTTACAGGATTGGTTCATTTCCAGTGTACAGGTCAGCTATATTTAAATATTACTTAAATAGTATTTAAATGTTTATCTAAGTTTTGGATACCTATAATGAAGAATTCTAACTTTGTTGAGAGAAGGAATAGATTAAACAAAATACTGAGAAAAACTGGGAATGTGGCAACCCCTCTACTGTCCACCTCAAGAAGACAAAAGTAGAAAATGTGCTCAACTTTAAAAGAATGGTTAGAGAGCCCACTGTTCACCATAATGCAAGACTGATAAAATATTCTATGAAAATTATAAAACAAAACAAAAGTAAATGAAATCAATCATATCCTTTTTCTATATATACACATATATTTGTGCATGTATAGATAGATATGTAGAAACATGTAGATATGTAACTATATAGATGTATATGGTTTTGTACTTAAGGCTCAGAAGAAAGAGGAGATCTATGATACTGAGTTGACATTTAGGTAGTGTAATGATGAATGATCTCATAAAACACAGATACAAAGAAAATAGTCTAGCTCTTAGAAGATACCTTTTCACTTCAACAGGAAGGGATAATATTGTATCTTGTTATGATAACACCTTTATTTACAATCATATGAGGTTTGGGGAACATCAGTCTTCCACATCTGTATTATACCTGCTTTAGAAATGGAAGTTTAAGCTTAAATCAGGTAAAATTTAGAGATCTATTAATAACATCAAGAATGAGTGAAGGTGGCTTTTAGACCAAAACAGAAAGTTGTAACCTAAACACTTCTGTAAGGATTTACAGAAAGTCTGGGTACAAGTTAGTGATTTACACTGCCCATTATAAAGCAATCCCATAATATTTTCCTCTAACTTATTACTTTCATAAGACAGAAATAAGTTGTTTTCAGATTCTGCTCTTCTTTCCTCTACAGAAAAAGTAAGAAATTGCTCTCTTGATATTGGAGACTTAAGCTATTTTTTGGTTTTGGAGTTTGATGTCTTAAGGTCAACCTTGTCATTTTTTTAGATTTAGCATAACAGTAATTATATATAAAAGAGGGGTGTAAAATCCTCTCGCTATTAATGCTTTAGATTACTGTTTTCTGTAAATGTCTTAGCACCAATGAGATGTTAATGGAAGTTGCATTGCCACTTACTAAGCCTGGTTTGTCTCACTGTACTTTTTTCACTTTTACAGAGTGATGAAAGTAACTGTTGAGGTTTTTTGTTTGGCCAAATCTATCATAAAATATAGCATTATTTTCTGAAGGATCAAAGTAAACCTATTTAATGTGCAATTCAAATTTAGTTATCATTTTATTGGAACCACCTAGGTTGTTTGGTTTTCCTGCATAGTAATCAACAATACCTGTTTTCAGAAAAACAAAATAATTACACTGATGATCGAGGTGATAACAGCAATAATACTCTGATTGCAATAGAAAGCATCTTTTGGCATTTTTTCTTCAGGAATCTGCATAAAGAAAGTCTGCGGAGCCGCGGACGAACGACACGCCGAGACGGGTTCAACGTGGAAGATAGAGCACCAATCACCGTGTGTGTTTATTGGTCCATGGTACATATATTTATACAGACAATGATAATTATTATGCCTACTAGTCACTAGCTG